GCTTTGGTCACCGTCTTCATCTGGCTGTTGGTGAGTGGTGGTCTAATGGATTTTTGGCTTGACTGTGTTTATGGGGTGCGCAGCAACATTAAACAACATACACAAATATGGGAGTATATCATAACATTTTGTAGTCTTCTAACAGATTTTCTGGTCACCATTCAAATAAAAAGATACCTTTTCTGACATTTCCATTTTAGAACATTATTTTAGAGGTTTAATCATTTTTTTCATACACAGAGTTGCATACAAAATATGAATTAAGGCTGTCAAACAGATTAAACTATAAATATATGGCTGTAAATTCAGTCATTTATTAATGATAAGATTCTTTTTGTTTGTTGTTTTCTTTATGTTAAAAGGGTTGAGACATCCCCTTTCAGTTTATTTTATTGACATTAATAGCTGAATATTTATTTTTCTAATTATTCAAAATTGTTTATTTGCACAGCTGTGGACTTTATTTTGTCTTTTATTTATTTAACAGTGACATTTACACCAGTGAGTGTTTAATAACAAGAAAAACTTAGCGTCTTAGCTCTAAAATGTTCAGTTCTAAAACTGTTAATAAACATTCTTATAATATCACATATGCCTTTTGACTTTGAATTTAACTGAACATTGTGTACAAGGAAATACCGGGATATAAGAGGTATATCGTGACATGTAAAAATTATACCGGGATATGAATTTTGGACCATATTGCCCAGCCCTAATTGGAAGGCTCCAATTGCCTACTACCTGACCAAGGCCCTGTCTCCAGAGACACAGGAGGGGCTGCTTGTTCATGCTTTGGGTGAGCGCAGCGTAAGAGTAGTATGTGTCACAATGGATGGGCATGCCTCCAATGTGCGCATGTGCAACCGACTTGGGTGCCACCTAAAAGGAAATTCTGCTGAGCCTTTAATAACATTCTTCCCACATCCAGTGACTGGCGAGAAGGTGTTTGTTCTGATGGATGCTTGCCTCATGTTGAAATTGGCACGTAATATGCTGCAGGCTTACACTCCAATAACCATCACCACTGGCCAGATCAACTGGAAATACTTTGTTCATCTTAATGATGTTCAAACAAAAAATGGATTGCACACTGCCAACAAGATCACAGACAAGCATGTGAATTTTGATTCATGGAAGATGAAGGTTTCCCTGGCTGCACAGGAACTGAGTCGCTCTGTGGCAGTGTCTCTGCATACACTGAGGGACCTTGGCTATTCACAGTTTGAACACTGTGAAGCAACAGCTGAATTCATTGAGGTAATCAATTTAATTTTACTTATACTGTATATCCCTGAATCACAATATACATAAAAACGCGACTGCAGGCTGATGTGTTGCCGATTGGCCCTTCCCTCTTCTTCAACACCACATGCTGAAAAAAGAAAAGCATTTTTAAAAAATGTATGTGTGTGTATGTGTGTGTGTGTGTGTACACATACACACCTTTTTGTTTTATTGATAAATTAACGAATTAGTTGTGCAGCCATAATGATAAAATGTTTTTCACAAATTACTGTAATGAGTCATGGGAACATGTTATTGTTTATTATGATCCTATTAATGCAGATGTTTGCTTTTTAAGATAATTGACAGGCTCTTCGACATGATGAACAGCCGCAGTCCACATGCCAAAGGGTTTAAAGCTTCCTTGGGTCCTTTGAATTGGGCAGAAAGTGCAGTTTTTGTTGAGAGGCAGGGACTAGATGAGTTTGATGATGAAAGATGGCACACCCCTTCATCGATCGAAGAGGTTTTAGGAAATAGTCAAGCTTTTGTTTTTATGAAGAGTTTGTAAATTTATGACATGTTCATATGATGTTCTGTTCTAGGCAGGCAAGGCAATATGATAAAACCAAAATTTACTTTTTTGAGCAAATACCACTATAGATGGAATTTTGGGATGGCTTGGTGCTTTTGCACTATATTAATATTAGGGACATATTGCCCATTCCTGTTCTCTTGTTCTGCATGCTGCATCACAAGTTCATATGATGTTTGTTCTCTGATTCCAATGCAGTCTCCTCTTTTGTTTCTGTTAGAATTCTATCTTCAGTTTTTTTTCTATGTCTGTGTTTACAAGATTTCCTATTTGTGTGGATGCTGTAAAGCATCCACACTATGCTCTCCTGTTCTTTATTAGTGTGGAAACACACTCTTGTTATCTTCTTCTTTATTGTCATCCATACTTTGTTTTCCAAATCTTTGTATGGATGCTGAATCAGCATCCATACAAAGATTTGTTTTCCAATTATTTCTTTGTTGTTGTTGTTGTTGTTTAAAGATTAGGAAAACAAGGTATGGAT